AAAAAATAAAACAAAACAAAACAAAAACATACTTTTACTAACTTTCTGTTTGCTAATTGCACAGTAAAGTAAGGTAGACAGACAGGCCCACACTGTTTGTGAAAAGTGTTAGGCAGTATGTAGTTAGTACCAAATTCTGCCCTTATCTCAAGCAGTAAATATAATTGCACAATAAATCATTTTTAAGAGGGGTGTGAGGAGAAAGCTAAGACAGACCAGAATGTATAAAAAAGCAAAGATTGTTTGACTAGTAAAGCTAAACAGCCTTACCTTTTACCCTTGTTACAGTAACTATTGCATGCAATCCAACATCAAAAAAAGGATTCAATGGTGAAACTGCTGCAAAGTCACCATGCTCAATTTTATAACACTGTAAGTTTTTATTCACTTTGCTGTCATTACTAATAACTGAAAAAATACTTCACTAAGTCTTATAGATTGGTGGATAACTAGTGAGACTGACAGAGTTAGAAGGTAGATGTATAATTTGGTTTTGTTTATTTCTTACCCCATGCCCTCATTGATTACAATATCATTACAGCTGGATCCCGCAAATATTGTCCGCGTACCTAAAATAAATTTATAAAGAGAATTTAACAAAGCATTTTAATTTATACCATTAGCTTATGAAAGTGCTGACCCTTGAAATAAATTTCAAACTAGTAGCCTCTGCGGGGTCAATACCTTTGGGGAGCAAAAATGTTATATAAAAATGGTTGGTATTTTTTTGGGGGGGGGAGGGGTGGGGGTGTTGGGCTTGCTACATGTACTTTTGGTAGCCTGCATGGCTGGCGGTTTAGTTGGTTGGGATAGAGGACCATATAGAGTGTGATCTGCAAAACAAGCTGCAAAGCTGCAAGCGACCTTGGAAAAAAATAAAACACTGGGCCCCTCGTGGTTTTGTTGCTTGCTCACGCACTCTACCCCAACTAAACTGCCAGCTATTTCTGGGGATCCTTCCTTTCAGGACTTATTAGACCTTTAGGGACACAATTTTTTGATGTTTTTTTTCTGGGGTTGCTACTTTCAGAGGGTCATTACTTTTGGAAGTTTATGGTAGTAGAGATGGTAGCCTTCATTTCATAATTAGGAGCGTATAATCCAAACAGGTCAATATACCTTTCTTTAAATGCCTTTGGCTCATTTACAGAAGGATTTTCACCTTAGTCTGAAATTTGGGGTTATTTTAGGGGTGGAGGGAGGGGGGGATTATCAGAATTTTTAAGGCATTTTACCTAAAAGAGACAAGCCCGAGTGAAGGAAAATGTATTAGTTATTGTAGAGTACTTACACACTCTGCTTCTGAGATCCCAGATTTTTAAAGTCCTGTCATGACCTCCAGAAACTACTTTTGTTGCTGCTCCAAAGAATTTTACAGACATTACTTTTTGTGAGTGACCTGTTAGAGTGTGCTGAAAAAAAACCCCACAAATCTATAATACATCAATGTTAGATGGTCTATATGGGGATTACCTGAAAACTGAGAATTGGTCAAATTTCTAACTAATCACTGAAAACTGAGATCTACAAAATTTAATGACAGCTGAGAAATGGGGTGTAATTTAAACTGACAGCTGGAAAAAGTCCAAGAATTGAACTGAAAACTAAGATTCCAGCACTCCATCAAGACCATCATATTACAGTTGAACCCTATGTTTCCTGGTACAACATTTTGCGAACAGAAGTCCTGCGAATAAATAACACTTACATGTGCTGTAATTATAGTATAAGTTAATCCAATGGACTTCAAATCAATGTAGCAATCCAGGTTTAAGCCCTCACAGGGTCATGCAATATTCTTTTTCTTGCACAAGTCACTTTTCTCTCGCATTGCCTTTCTCCACTAAAGCACAGTGTATATGTTGTAGGTCAACTGAAATTCAGGTTAAAATGAAATTCCTTTGTCTCTTAACCCTTATTATTCATGTGTCATTAATAATTAACTCAATAGCCCATGAGGTTAAGCCGAATGGGCTATTGACCCATGGCCCTTGAGGGTGAAGGGTCTAAGTATCACCCTATTAGTTGGACAGAAAAGGTAATAATAAAGTTAGCAAATGCAAGTTGAAGAAATATTTATTTGGGAATAAAATGAAAGAAAGCGTCACGCTCAATTGCACTATTTTCGCTACTCGAGGACTATTAGTAGCGTAGCCAATTAAAATGCAGGATTCGCATTAGTCCCCTAGTTGGGTGATACTAATAAGGGCTAGAAGACAAAGGAAATTGAGAATCAAACTACAGTAGGTTAAAATCAATTTAACCTGAATTTCATTTTGAACTACAACAGTTGTAGGTCAATTTGTTTCAAACTAGGTTGGTTTGAACTCAGCCTAGTTCAGTTTACTAATGTCTCTGTATTTTTTTTTTGGCTGTGTCAAGATGTCTGGCAGCCAGACAGTGTTTTTAAAAAACTTTGTCTCTGGTTAGGCACCTTTGGGCTCTGCGAAATTTTTCTTCAACCACATCCTTGGACAATAAAAGACACTCACCCGAAGTCTCTGATCTCCAAGTGTCCATACTCGACATGCGCCTTCATGTGATCCCGCCAAAACAAGTTTTTCCTGGAAATTTTGCAGTTGGTATTAATATATCTATGAGTGGTCCACAAGGACAGACTACATGTATGTGCAGACTAACTTTGCCAACCAGGATAAAGAAATTCTCTCCCTCAACACTTTCAAAGGAACAATTTTTGCTGTACAGAATTTTAGAAGACTTGATTGGAACAGGCCATATTATATCCCCATTAACCCTTTAATGGTAAATTTCCTCAAAAAATGCTGTTTTTTGACTACCATGACCCTGAATTGGCCTCAACTTTGCTGAAAAAGTGATTTCTTACCAAGGAGCAAGATTTTCCTGAGGATTAGGTACCAATTGAAAATGTATGTAATATTTTACTTTGGAGCATGCCATATTAAGCCAAAAATTGGACTTGTTTTTGTTATTATTTTTTTTTTTGCTGGCCTGATTTGATTTGTTCCCTGTACTTTTCCTTTCCTTTTTCTCGCCCCTTTCACTCTTGCTAGCTATTGCTTTATTTGCTTTATCCTTTCTGACAACTGTATAAAGTTCAATCAGTTATATCTTTAAGGTCAGTTTTACACCAAAAACAACTGCTCACGTTTTTTTCAAAAACAGACAGTTGTGCAGATAGATCTATCCTAGCCCTATTATCTATTAGCTCTATTATCTGCTCATTAAGAATACCTAATGACATCTAAATTGCTGACATCACAATTGGTACAAAGTGTATGACCCCTCAATCGTAAGAAAATGTACGATTGCAGTTAAAGCTTAAATGTTGACACTATGGGTAAATTCAGATCAGTTGTTATGAGATTACTTAAATCATGGTTCACTAAAGGAATCGATGAGTCCTTAGCTTACCCAGAGTGGATTTACCACTTCCTTTGATGCACAACTATCTTGCATCATTGATCCTGATCCAGATTATTCCAAAGGAACACACTTCATGATATATCCTTATACATTAAATGACCCCTGGTTAGCAACCTAAAATAATAGAAGAATCCTACCTGAGGATCAATTTGTACGGACATGATGCCTGCGTTACTACCATGCATGGTACCTTTTAATGTATAGTTTCCTTCAATTAGAAAAAAAAAATTGATATTAGAAAAAAACATTATATTTACGAACCATAGGTTATAAACAGATGTTCGGGTTGCTAAGAATATCTGACTAAGAAAAAGTAGTCAGACAAGTGGTGCACATTGTCAGCTAGGTTAAACTCATGATCTCTGTAGCCTAAAGTACTTATTAATAAGTGTATTGATAAATGTCTATAACTCCTTCTGCAAAGCTGAGTGGTAATGTTTATCAATTATATTAGATTATGAACTTGAGATTTATATCACATGATAGTTGACGAGGGTGCAGCCTCAGGAGTCAACCATCATGCATAGAAATTGAGAGTCATTAATCTAATTAAAAAATTGACACCAATAAGAGAACAGCATTCATGATAGAACACTTGTCTAGATAGTAGATTTATGCTAATAATAAATTTTCCTAGTACGAACTGCTCCAATACAAGGTACATTACGTAAATACAAGAAAAAGACAACTCAGGCTAACGCACCATCAGGCCACTGTGCCTGCAAGTTAAGATTGCATTCGGATCAATGCAAACCAAGACCATTGTACTCCTGATCTCAAATAAAGACAGTTCTGGCAAATGAAAGTTAACTCATACCATTGACTTTTTCCCAGACTTTTACTTTTCTGTCTGCGCCTCCTGTCACGAACAATCTTCCTGAATTGCTGAATCTTGCTGCATTTACTTCCCCATCATGGGCATCCTACCAAAAAATAAAATAGAGTTTAACAATGGCTAGTTAATTGACAGGTGACCATCAGCAGCTGCTGATCATGGATGAGTTCATCAATGTCCAAAAACAACCATCCCTCCCCTCCCCAATAACAACAACCTATCTTCCTGTGTCTGTTTACATGCCTGGGTTACAATGATTGATTGTCAGCAGAAATCAAAACACCGCTGACAATGGTTTGAGCTTGAACAAGATCTTCAGGTCCAGATTTCAATAGACTACCATGACTATCATGTTTCATACAGACTGACATTTTCAACAAGTTGCTGAGCAAAGTAATAGATAACAAACGTTCTGTACTCACAAACTTTTTGTCAGGGTATGAGGGGACAGATATGATCGCACAGAATGGTATGGCTGGCTGATCAGAACTGAAAGATAAATTACAAAGTAAAAAGTGAACATTCTCGCATTTTCACTACCACCTTACTAAGCTGAGAGAGCTTAAGTGTACCTCGCAAGTTCCTCAGTGATCTAAGGAGCTACATGTATACCAACAGGCTATATCTACACAAATCTTTCTTTACAAGATTTGCCTCATTAACATTAGTGATTCAGTTACTGATCTAGCTACAAATTATACCAGCTCTGAATATTGAAATTATGACATGAAGGACCATTAACCATCTCAAGGAATTTAAGTCCGATGTATCAGACACTTATTGTGAGATTTAAAAACTCAAACTTTTACAAAGAATGCATGAGCTCATTAGCACTTAACTGCCACCCAAATATTTTGCAGTTCTTAAAAACCCATGAATATTACATTTTGCCATGAATATTACACCCAATTCAAAGAGCCAAACATTTCACCATTTACCAAGTTTTACATCAGCTCTTTATATGTTTGAAGTCAATTTTTAACTAGCATGATGTCTTCTCTGTGTAAAGTTGTATATTAATAACAGAGAAAAATGGCAACAATGACACCAGCAAAGATTGCTCTATACTAACTTAAGTAACAGAAACCTGGCCCTCCAGGGATGACATTGGATGATAGTTATCATGCATTGCCAGAAAAAAAGTTGGAAAAAATTAATTAACATACTTCAATAAGATTTCAGAATAAAGAGTAGTGAGATAAAAACATGAAGTTTCGGCAACGACATGTCACCATTATCAAATGCAAATTATTATGTATTGGGTAACGTTATATAAAGAATATAGAGTGGGAAAGTACATTAGAATAAATGAGGCGGGGATAAACAAAAGAATGAGAAAAATTTAAATGAAAAGTTTCGCTGGAATGGAGTCATTTTGAGTGTTCAGAGTCAGACTCTTTTTCCTTATAAAAAGCATCTCATAAATAAGGCACTCGAACTTTCCATGGCATTTCTTTAAGGTGGTAAACTGCTCGTGAAGATTGTTAGATGTTTGATTGTGTTTGTCCAATGCACATTTGATAATGGTGACATGTTGTCGCCGAAACGTCATATTTTTATCTCGCTACTCTTTATTCTGAAATGTTTTTCAAAACCTTTCAATAAGATTGGTGTTTTAAATGATGTTAGCGGATAAAGGCATGATGTACATGCAGCAATTCATGTTTTTAAAGCAGAAGTCTGATTGACAATTACAAATTTAATTAAGGTGTAAAGTTACTGAGAGTTGTGAGCATCTAACACATCAAAAAATAGCCTGCTTTGGACTGACAAGATTCATTTACGTAGGGCAGCAGTGTTATAAACCCAGTATAAACGTCTCGTTAGTTGGACCTACTTTGGTAAATTTACTTGTACATGTTCTTTTGCTGCATCTATAAGAGCTTTCTGGAGTTTTTCCTGATGTATTCTAACAAAAATAACAATAACTAATTAGTGATTGTTTAAATTATCAAGTTCTACTCCTACAACATGAAAACTAAAAAGAATGTCCATCACAGTTGGATTGATAGAAATAACTTTACAATGAACTGTCTTTAAGATGGACACATTTGGGAACAGCTCTAGCTATCTGCTTTGGAGAGGTGTCTGCCCTGAGAGTTCACTTACAGAGAAACAAGTGGAATTCTTGACCTGAACCAGCCAGAAAGTCACCTCTGTCTTAGAGAGTGTTTACCTTACAATGTTGTCCATTTTGACAGAGTTAATCAAAAGTGTTCTGTATTGTTCAAAAAAAGATATTTTAAAACCTTTTTCAGTTCACAATAAATAATGTTTATCCTCTAGTTGGCGTATCATTAATTTTGATCCACAACTGTTACAATGTGGTATGAAAAAATCAGCTCGAAATCAGTCTCAGCTGTGAAAAGAGTGTTAAGTCTAAGATATCTCATTACAAAAGGTAGTCCTTTATATAAACCTTATTGGATTCCCTGGACGGCCTTGCCTTTTACATTCATTGATACATTGCAAATATATTTATTTTATTGTGTGACAAAATAACAATAAACTGAAAGTTAAAAAAGGATTACAATGTACAATTTATTTAATACATAAAATTAAATTTGAATAACCTTCTCTGAGTTTCATTTTCAGCATTCACTTTATCAGCATCTTTTGCTTTTTGTGCCATCCATCTTCCTATCTGCATAAATTCAAATCCAGTTTATAACATTATGGCTATGGAAGGTAATTTTACGCTGTTGAACTCTGGACCAAGCTTTTCTCAAGGTCTGGGCACTGACCAAGGTCACTTTCACCATTAATCTTTCTTTGCAGCAACTAAATGACATCCTTCAAAATGTTACAGCAACCAAAAAAAAATTACCTGGGGGTAATCTTCAATAAATTAGCCTCCAATACAAAGAGTCAGTGAGTGACTACTCTCATTCTTGCCATCTCATGTTACAGAAAATGCGATACACTCCAGGATTTTTCACCGCCTAGCTTGCATTTGCATTCTAAAAATTTTTATTAAGAGGTCTCATTAACATATCCAGCAGGAGAGCAACTGGTTTTAACAGGTGGGAAAGACCTCTTTCAACTGACAAAACTTCTATGTAAGAAAAATTTACCCCTAGATTGTCACACTGGGCAGCAAAATCATCCTCACAGCTGGTCAATTCGCCCAGTGCC